GCGGAGCTGTGGCTGCGGCAATCCCCGCCGCAGCGCCCTCTTATAAGGGGGAGGGGCCTGCAGTCGCCACGCCCACCTCATTTGGGTACATTTGCATGCGAGGCGAGAGCACCCCCCGGGGGGAGCGTGTGGAGCGGTGGGACCCTGCCCCCAGGCCTTCCGTGGCCCCTTTCGGGGTCCCTCTCCGCAGGGCACCCCCACATGCCCCACAGCGGTTCCCAGGCCACTCTGCCTCCCCTCCGAGGGTGCTGGGTGCTCCCTGCAGCCTAGGGGTGCCCAGCCAGGCTGTGGGGAAGAGGACTGGGCTCAAGCCCTCGGGCAGCGCTCAGCCACTGGCATGGGGCAGCAGTGGGTACAGCAGCCCCTGCTATACTCTGACACCACCTTCTCCTCACTGCAGGCTTAGCTGGGATCTAGTGACCCCTCCAAGGTCTCCAGGACCTAGACCTCTAGAGCATGAATAACAAAGAGACATAGATTAGAGACATGGACCAGGTTCTAGAGACCAAGGTGCCCCCAAACCTATCTTCATCACCTCAGCACTTCAGGTATCTCCAACCAAGGGCTGCCCTTCCCTCCAGTGGGTACGGGCAGGTAATGCCAGGCACTTCTGGGAGACTGCAGAACAGCATGGCAGAAATTTGAGATGTGAGGCTGGCCCAGCTACAAAGAAAGGTCATCACAGCCAGTTCCCTGTTACCTGAATGACTCCTTGTGGCCAGGCTCCGAAAAGCCCTTCTGTTTGAGGCCTGGCTAGTGCACCCTGCCCCATCAGGGCCAGGATTAGTCCCGCTGCTGAGGATGTGAGAACTACCAGCCTGGTTCACTGCCTGATAGGAAAGAGAGCCTGGCACTCAGGCCTTGCACTCTGCACACACAGCAGGGAGCGGGCTCTGTCCCTGCTGCTGAGGCACCATCTCATCGTTCCCTGTCCACAGAGACAGGGGCTTCTTTTGCTACCCAGGAGCGTGTAAGTGCCCTGGCATGCCAGAACAAACTGCTGTGTCCCCCTCTCCTGCACTGGGGTCCAGTGCAGAGGTTCAGGCTAACCTCTAGAAAATAAGGAATAGGACACAGTTATAACTCTTACATGCTTCTGGCAGCAGTCAGATCTCTCTGAAGAGATAGGGAGAAGGTAACTCTGCTGTGGAATCACTCCCAGAGCAGCGGGGTCCTCCTCAGCCCTGCTCAAGTGTGAGTAAGGAGGTGCTCAGAGCAGTGCCCAGCATAAGGGGCAGCACCTCCTGCCCTGTCCCAGCAGCAGGCACTGCTCAGCCAAAGCCCAGGGCTCTGGTCGCTGGCATGGGAAACAGCACCAGGCTTTCTGGAGCTGCCCTGTGCCAGTGGGACAACTGCCTGGCCATGGTCCAGGAGCCAGCGAGCCCCGGTGCTGGCTCACACTTTCCCCTACAGCTGACACTGGTGCATGTCGGGAGCAGGAGGAGGGCAACAGAGGACAGTCCCTGTGGGTCAGTATAACCAGAGCATTAGCGTTAAGTCGGGAAAGTTAATCTCTGGCCCCAGCCCGCTGGGTACAAGTTAAAAAACAAATCTCCTGCTTGCAGCTGGAACCAAGAGTCGCTATTCAGGAGCACCCCCCTCCCCCAATGCCTGAGCAGTGCAGGGAAAGGTCTCAGCATGGGGCAACACAGCACGGGGCAAGTGCCCCAGCAGGATGGCAGGCACAGGCAGAGCCAGGCTGGGGGGTGGCCGAGGACCCCTCCAGGCAGGGGGACTTTGTGAACAAGCGAAGGGCTCACAGAAACAAATCCCATGCCTTGACAAACAGCAGCAGGCCCTGGGACCAGGAAACAGCCTCCCCCAGACCAGTGGGGAGAAAGGGAGCTGCTCCATCAGGAAACGCCAACTCAGCCCCTGACAGCCACCATAAGAGAGGCAGAAAAATGGCGCCACAATGGGGGCTCCTTCCCACCCCTCTGGCATCAGCTCTGATAGGAAAGCAGGCAATGGCCAGGCTATTCCTGTGCTTTTAATGCCTACCTTCCACAACAGCTCAGCCTCTCTGGGTACTTTCCTGGTGTCCTGCTCAGAGAGATCAGGAATATGCTCCAAAGGCTCAGAACTATTCTGTGTCCCATCACACTGTGCAACACGTCCAGGACTCCTCCTGATTTCTTTGCTGGGTATGTTTGGGCACTTTCCCAGAGCATACTATTTGCCCTATCCATTTTCCCAAGATGTGGGACTCTTACCTGCACAGGGAGCAAGCTGGAGCTGGAGCAGAGTGCACTAGGAAGAAGCATAGCAGCAGCAGCAGCGCTGAAGCACTCACCACACGCCTGACCTGGCAAGAAACCAATAGAGCTTGGGGGTTAGTGGGAGACACGGAGACTCTGAAACTGTTTATTGCCAAGGGTTTGTGCAGTTAACAGAGCAAAAGGAGGAAGGTCCTTTGTGGTGGGCGTCTCTACTCCTCGCCCTCCTCTTCATCCTCGTAGGAGTCCAGGCCCACCTCCTCGTAATCCTTCTCCAGCGCAGCCATGTCTTCCCGCGCCTCAGAGAACTCCCCTTCCTCCATGCCCTCGCCCACGTACCAGTGCACAAAGGCTCGCTTGGCGTACATGAGGTCGAACTTGTGGTCGAGGCGAGCCCAGGCCTCGGCAATGGCCGTGGTGTTGCTGAGCATGCAGACGGCCCGCTGCACCTTGGCCAGGTCCCCCCCCGGCACCACCGTGGGCGGCTGGTAGTTGATGCCCACCTTGAAGCCCGTGGGGCACCAGTCCACAAACTGGATGCTGCGCTTGGTCTTGATGGTGGCAATGGCGGCGTTGACGTCTTTGGGCACCACGTCCCCGCGGTACAGCAGGCAGCAGGCCATGTACTTGCCGTGGCGAGGGTCACACTTCACCATCTGGTTGGCCGGCTCAAAGCAGGAGTTGGTGATCTCGGCCACAGACAGCTGCTCGTGGTAGGCCTTCTCTGCAGAGATGACGGGGGCATAGGTGGCCAGGGGGAAGTGGATGCGGGGATAGGGCACCAGGTTGGTCTGGAACTCGGTCAGGTCCACGTTCAGGGCACCATCAAACCGCAGTGATGCCGTGATGGACGACACAATCTGGCTAATGAGGCGATTCAGGTTGGTGTAGGTGGGGCGCTCGATGTCAAGGTTCCTGCGACAGATGTCGTAGATGGCCTCATTGTCGACCATGAAGGCACAGTCCGAATGCTCCAGGGTGGTGTGGGTGCAGGAAGCCCTGGAGGCCGGTGCACTGGTCAGCCTGTAGAGAGAGCTCCTGTGAGAATCTCCCAAGCAATGACATTGCTGGAGGGAAGTTTCAGCGTTTTGCTTGCCAGAACCATCTCCCGCCACTGACCCCTGCCCAGGGCACAGCAAGGCTTGTTTCTCTACTCCAGCCCCCAGAAAGATGACAGAGCCCCGCCCAGCAGGCCAGATGTCCCCCCTGCAGTTACCTACCAGCTTCCGAATTCTGTCCAGCACTTGGTCAATGATCTCTTTGCCAATAGTGTAGTGCCCTCGGGCGTAGTTGTTGGCAGCATCTTCCTTGCCCGTGATCATTTGTTCAGGGTGGAAGAGCTGGCGGTAGATTCCGGCCCGAACCTCATCTAGGGGAGGTTAGCACAATGTTAGGGATGATGCAATTATTCCCCTGGGGAAATGTGGACAGAAGTGCTCTAGAGAGTATCCTGCAGCGGGTTACTCCCAGAGACAGTGATCACCGTCACGGCCCATCCAGGGGTGTGCATACCAGGGCAGGAGGGCCATAAGTGGGTGGCAGCAGAACCCACAGCGCTGCACCCTTGGTTGTGCACGCCTGGGCTCCAGCACTCACCGATCACAGTGGGCTCCAGGTCCACAAAGATGGCCCGTGGGACATGCTTCCCAGCACCTGTCTCGCAGAAGAAGGTGGTGAAGGAGTCGTCCCCTCCACCGATGGTTTTGTCAGTGGGCATCTGCCCGTCGGGCTGGATGCCGTGCTCCAGGCAGTACAGCTCCCAGCAGGTGTTGCCCATCTGGACGCCGGCCTGGCCGACGTGGACTGAGATGCACTCACGCTGGGGAAGGGAGAGAGGCAGTGTCAGCTCCTGGCTGGGACCATGGACGCGGTCACTGTAGGTGGCGAGGTGTCTACAGGTCCCATGTAGTGAGCACAGGCAGGCCAGCCCAGGCCCACGTGAGCTTGAAGTGGTCTTGTTCAAATCATGCTGCCCTTCACCCTGGGAGGCTTGTGCTTATCCCATCCCACTGGCTTTCCCAAATCCAGTGCTCTGCCTCCCCTCACTGCACTGCCCACCCCAGGGGCCCAGGGGGGATGAAGACCCATTTCCTGGAGCCAGGGACACCTGGCAAGCAATTTCCCTAGCCTGCACCAACCAATAGCCCTGGGAAGCATCTGGTGAGTACCTTCTCCATTGCATGAAAACACTCTGAGGCTAAGGGCCGGGGCCTTGCAGCAGCTGCCATTGCCTGTGGCTGCACAGAGACAACGTGCGGGTTTGGCAGCCGGTCCTAGCACCCCTCCCGCTTCGCTGGGCCCTGCTAGGAGTCCACTAGCCCCTTGCACCTTGACCAGCTCTGTCCACCTCTGTCCCTCAGGGAAGAGATGCAGCGCCCCTGCCCCACCTGCTGCCTGCAACTCTGCCAGGTACCACTGCTGCCCATCCCGTCCAGGGCAGCCTGATCCCTCACTGCAGCAGACAGGGTGGCAGCCCAGCTGCAGTGAAGCAAGGTGAGGTAGTGAGCTAACATGAGCACATACCTAGCCCATGAAGTGCAGCCAATATAGGGGCAACCCCACCCTGGCCGCTGCTCTGGAGCCAGGCGAGTACTCAGCCTCCCCCGGGGTAAGAGACCATTTGCTGTCGCAACAACAGGTCTGCAGGCTGAGATGAAGAGCATCAGCTGAACTGGGGGAGCTGAGGAGGTGGTGGAGAGGAAGGCTTCCTAGTAAGAACAATTTGCAGTAGTGAATGGTTGCCATGCTCTGAGGCTCTGCTTTCCTAAATTAGCTTTGGAACGGAGGCATTAGCTACACTTTTAAACTGAACTGAAGGGCTGATGTGAGAGGGTGCTCTAACTCAGGACTTAGGGGCACTGTCAAGGCTCACATTGGTTCTGGCATCTCAGTCCCTCGAGGAGAGGCATCCCTGACATTGCAGCTCTTTTGACAAGAGCCAAAATACCCAGGGCATTTAGCCCTGCTGTTGCCAAGGACTTGGATGCGTCATCAGGCACATCCAAGGCAGAGGAGCATCCAACCCAAACCGTATTTCCAGAGTAGTCACTGCCCTGCTGTGAGTCAGCTAGCAGGGAACTGGTAGTGCCAGCCATTTTGTGCTCAGCAGCCCAAGAGCTACTGCTGTCCAAGGGAAGTTGCAAGGTTCCCAGCACACAAGTCCTGGCTTTGTGCATCTAGGGGGCTTTAGTGTTGCATTTCAGAGGCAGCAGTGATGGTGAAGGACAACAGGAAAATAAGCCCTTGATTCCCATGGTAAGAACCAGGAGTCCATCTGTCCATCTTCTCCAGAGCTGAAGTACAAGAGCAGGGAAGTAACTTCCCCCAGCAGGTCCAAAAAGGTGTTGTAACATCATCAGCTGATGCAGAGTACTGAGAAAACTCCAGGATGTTCAAAAGAAGCATGTAGCAAACACTGATGTTCCTATAAGCACCTCAGGATGGCCGCAAGAAATAATTACAGTCTCTTCCCTTGGGTAGAGGGCCAAAAATCATGGGAAGAAACAAGAAAAGACTGCTCCCTGGCCGAGCACCTTGCAGCCTGAGAATCAGAGAGGAGGTGGGAGAGGGCTGATGCTGATAATCCCTATTCGTCTTGATGATATGCAGCAGCTAAGACCAGCTAGCAGGACCCAGTGCTGACAGGATGGGGCTAGGCAGGGAGGAGCAGAGCCCAGCAGTGCTGGAGGTGAAACAATGCTGGTCACAAGTCAGGATGCAAGCAAGACACTTCTGCTTTTCTCCCTGTGACATTTAGCTCACAGCAGGCAGGGAGCCCAGCAGCAGGGGAGCGGCCGGTAAGGTGCTGGGGTATCCTGCAGTACTGGATTGCTCTCTAGCCTAGCTGGCAAGCTCGGGAGCCACACGTTGCAACAGAACCACTCCAGCAAAGGAGCCCATAGGCTCAGCCAACAGAAAAGCCCCTGGGCTGGCCTGGCAGGGTCCTGGCACCCACAGCTGTGGAAGAATAGATGAAACCAGGATTTGCTTCTGACACTCAGGCCAGGAGCTTGAAGGCTAAGGGACAGGAAGATTGGGTGCACTCTCCCCAGGGAGACCCCAGCAGGGGGTATTACCAGGGAGGTAGGCAGGTCCTGCAGCTATTAAAGGATAGACAGGGAGGAGCAGGAGCAGTTCAGCCCAAACAGTCTTCACCCACCATGGAGTTTAGCTGATGAACTCCTCACCCTAGGACACTTCAGATGCTAGAAGACTCAAGGGGAAACTGGGAACATTTACAGGAGGTGACCAACGGGGTGCTGCTAAATATATGGGGATGGGCTGTATAGCCCAGCAAAGGGCTGAAGGCTAGGCTGGCACTCTCAGGACTCCCTTCTCCCTGCTCTTACTCCCCCATCGGCATGCCCTTTGGAGCAGTGTCTGTAGCTGCTACCAGGACCCACGGTCTAACCCCCCGCAGGAGAAGCTCCCCGAGAAGCTCCCCAAGAAGGTCGCCGGGGGAGAGCTCCGTGCTCGGAGCAGGGCACAGAGACCAAACCACAAGGAGAGCGTGCTTAGAGGATCAGGGACAGGGACAGGGACAGGGACAGGGCACACTCACCATGCTGCCGCGGCACGTCCTGCTCCC